CTTGGTATATTTCCAAGTGTCTACTCTGATGCTGTTGAATTGGGAAAGCTCTAGCAACTTCCCTCCTTCTTGATGGCCCTCAGCGACCAAGCAGGGCCTTGGAGCCCTGGAACTTCAGAGCAGGGATGAGGGGCCAGTGGCCAGCCTCCATCAAGCCCTGCACTCCACCTGTGACCGGCACGGCTCCCAGCACATTGCCTTGCTGTCCCCCACTGCCTTCTCCCAGGCTGCTAGGCTGCAGTGGGGTGAGGTGAATAGAATGCTTGTCAGTGCCTGCCTCTGCCCCAACCCAGCCCACTCTGGTGACCAAAGATGCAGTGTCATAGCCTGAGCTACCTTCCTGCAGTCACCCTGTCTGCCTACAGTTTTCAGGAACTAAAGCACACTCCCACCAAAGCAGTCACGGCGCTACCTTGCTCCCATGCTAGTTAGACCCCTTGGAGCCCCTACAACTGTCTAGAAGGATGGCACCTTTTTCTGGGCTCAAATATGGGCAAGAGTGTTGTTAACAAGACAATGAGGGGCATGTGCTGGGAGGCCTCCCCCTACACGTCCACCCCCAGGAGCCCCTTCTCTTGCCACTCCGTCCTTCCTCCTCCGGTCACCCATCTCCTGCTCCTTCCTTACTCACGCCCCCACCACCTCTCAGCCTCCCATGGTTCCAGCCATGGCCCCTCCTGCTCTCCAGAGTTGCCTTTTCTCTGAGGAGGCTGCAAATAAGCCCAGCCAGGGTCTGGGGCTTGGGCACTGGCCCCCAAAGCTCACCCAGCCCTGCTAAGAGGGTGGGATGGGCAGGCCATGAGGCCCTGAATCTAGAGCCCAACCCCTTCCCTTTGAGTGTGGCAGTTCTACATGCCTGCAGCCCTGCCCTTGGCCAAAACCAAGGGGTCTGTAGGGACCCCAGCCAAGAATCAGGCCAGCAAAAGTGCATGGGTTCAGGCCCTTCCTTGTCCTTCTCCCCAGAACAACTGTGGCTTGGTCATGGTCAGGCATTAGCTTTCCCCAGAAAATCACATAGGAGTGCAGCATGGCCAGCACCCCAGGGATCAGGAGGCTGAGATCAGCAGAGGAGAAGGAGGAAGGTCAGGGACAAGGAACCCTATCTGGGCAAAGCCCAGAGCAGGAAGAAACATCTGCTGGGGGAAACAGAGGCAGCCCAGACAGATGGCCCTGCAGAATCTTCTCCATTGGTTTTACCTCCAGGGGAA